CATAAACATCTCAATGGTAAAAAATCTGTCAACAGCAAACTGTAACTTTACAATCATAGATGAGATACTATTAATAAAAATCCTATCCATGCAACATGTATTGGGTTTTCCAGAACACCTAGGAATCTTTTTGTAACAAAGCAACCATCTTGGCTTCCTTGTCAGGTCCTACTGGATTCTCAACCTTTGCAACCCTATTTTCTTCACTGCTGGGTCTGCCCCTTTCTCCCCTGAACTTTATCCAATGTATAGGCTTAACCCTGATCTTATTTGTAAGAAAAATATTAACCTTAAGCAGGAGAAACATAAGAAGTGCTTGCCCAACTTTCAATTGCTGGCCTAGAGTTGGCCTTGTGTTCTTGTTCTATGGACTGAGATTCCGTATTGCTAAGAGTCCCATATACACCTTGGGCCCTAACTGACCTTATCTGAGCTTTGGGAACCTGCCCACTCAAGTTCTTTAAGGAATGGACTCTGCTTAACTCTTGCCAGTACACATTCCTGAACGTGTGCTTAAGACTTGTTTTTGAGTTCCCATTGGGACATCGATACAGTAGTACCCCCTTATCTGCAGTTTCAGTTTCCTGTGATCAACAGTGGTCAGAAAATATTAAATGAAAAATCCTAGAAATGAACAACTCATATGTTTAAATTGCATGCTATTCTGAGTACCTCACTTCATCTCATCACACAGACATTGTGATCACACATCTTCACAAGAAGGGTGAGTTCCGTACAATAAGGTATTCTGAGAGAGAGAGCAGCACGTTCACATAACTTTTGTTATAGTATATTGTTATAATTGTTCTATTTCATTAGTTATTATTAATCTCTTTGCCTAATTGATAAATTTTGTTATAGGTATGTATGTGTGTGTGTGTGTGTGTGTGTGTGTGTGTATGTATATGAAAAAACAGTACTGAATATATAGGGTTTGGTACTATCCATGGTTTCAGGCATCCACTGGGGGGTCTTGGAATGTATCCCCATGGACAAAAGGGGACTACTGTACTAAGCTTTGTTTTTTTTTTTTTAAATGTATCTTTATTGTTGAAAGCCTTACTGATGCCCGTCTTTCTCCCCCATTGACCCTCCCTCCCCTGCTCCTGCCCCCTCCCCAGGTCTTCACCAAACTATTGTCTGTGTCCATGGATTATGCATATATGCAAAGTGTTCCCCCCACCCCATATTTCCATACATAGTTATCACAGTATTATTGACTATATTCCCTATGCTGTACTTTACATCCCCTTGACTGTTTTGTAACTACCAATTTGTACATCTTAATCCCTTCACCTCTAAGCTTTGCTTTTATTTTATGAATGAGGCCCTAGATCTCAATTTCTTCTTACTGATAAAGTATACTTCACACATTTTGAATTACCTTCCAGCCTGAGGAGATATGCTCAAATAGTGCAGAGCTGCATGATGAGGACTTCTAGAAAGTTAAGGGTATGTTAGGGTCACATAATTGAGTCTCCATAAACCAAATTGGAGAGTTTAGATTTAAAAAGATAAGAAATAAGGAACCATTTGTAAACATTGATTTTTTAAAAAATTTATCTTTAATGTTGAAAGTTATACAGATGTACCCTTTTTTTCCCCATTGACCCTTTCTAGGCCATCCCCTCCCCCACCCCAGGCCTTCACCACACTATTGTCTGTGTACATATTGGTTTTTTAAATGGCTGTCAGCAATTTTACTTTGAAGCTTAGTGGCTCAAAGCAGTTGAAGCCTAAAAGAAATTTAATTGGAGACACTTTTAAAAAAGAAAACGACAAAAACAACAACACACACAAATCAAAAAATATAACCAAATTCAGTCCTTTGTTCTGTTTTCCTTTGTGCTCCCAATACTTTTGAATGTACTTCATCAGAGTGAGAAAGACCAATGGGCCATTTTGGAAGCAAATGGATGTTTTTGTCAACCACCGATCATTTAAAAATATTTATATAAACTTGTTACATACTTCAGCAAGTTGAAAATCACAAGCTATTATGTACATTCATTTTACATTGTTTTTAAATATATATATATTTGTATTGATTTCAGAGAGGAAGGGAAAAGGAGAGAAAGATAGAAACATCAATGATAAGAGAATTATTGATTGGCTGCCTCCTGCATGCCTCCCTACTGGGGATCGAGCCCGAAACCTGGGCATGTGCCCTGACCCGGATCGAATTGGAATTGAACCGTTACCTCTGGGTTACCAGTGAGCCAGGCCAGTAGGGCCAGTTTAAGTGGTTTTGAACACTGGAAAGATAAAAGCTTGTGAAAGGCATTTTATTTTTTCAGATGGCACATGCAGAGATGCACAAAATCCAAAATTCATGGGCACTATAATGATGGTTTTGTGGTGCAGAAGTAAAAATATCTTGAGCTATTTTTCTAAAACTGGGGGATCAGCCACATATGTATGTATTCTCCAAAGACAGAGAGCCTTAAACAGGGTTGTTGTATGAGGCAAGAGAGGCCATTTGCATGGAAAAGCCAATGGTGATGAAAAAACTATGATACATCTACACAATGGAATACTATGCTGCAGTAAAAAAGAAGGAACTCTTGCCATTTGCAACAGCATGGATGGAACTGGAGAGCATTATGCTAAGTGAAATAAGCCAGTCAGAGAAAGATAAATACCACATGATCTCACTCATTTGTGGAATATAGAGAACAACATAGACTGATGAACAGGGACAGATCCAAAGACAGAGAAATAGCGATCAGACTATCAATCCCCAGAGGGAAAGTAGGGGAGGGTGGGGGTAAGGGGAAGAGA